GAGGATCCCGATCGATGCCTGCGCCGGCAACGACGGCAAGAGCGGCGAACGATCTTGATCTTTCAACTGATGGAAATCGATAACACCACGAACTGCACGGCGAGTGCCAACGATGCGGCATGAGAAACGCTTCTTACCCGTGGGGGAACTGCCAGCCTGACCACCAATACCAGAAGAAGTCTTACGAATTCTGTTGAACCTTTCCAGATACTACCCGATCTTCTCAAACTTACATCTTCTGCACTGGCAGCCCGAGATTTGCCGTGAAAAAATGGATTGCGCTCTTCGTCCAGGACAGCCAACGCGCTATCGTATTCGAAGGCGTCTACCATTCTTAGCTTGAAAATCGCCGACGAGTCAGTCGATGCAAGAGATGACTGTGCCACAAACGAGATGAGTTCATTCTCGGCCGTCTCGGATGCGCAATCGTGGAGCAACGGAGTCTCGCTAGTGCCGATGTCGCCCGTGTCCTGACAGATCGACATAGCGCGTTTCGTCAACATCCACAAGGCGATCTTCAGCTCCTCAGTGCCGATGCGACGGTCGCTCTCGACGACCTTCCCGATTGCTTCAGCCTAGAGGTTGCTGGCGCGCTCGACCGTCTTCGCCGTCTCATTCTTCCCTCGAGCTCGCTCGCGAGGCTTTTCGTCAATGTGCGCGAAGCATGTGCAGCAGAACGCGCGGGCGACCCCTTTGGCGCTGCCCCTGTTGCCAACGAGGTCATGGGGGCAATCGCCCGGCTGTTGTAGTGCCTCGTACCTCTCCTTCTTGGTCTTGTGTCCGCAGCTCCTGCAAATGCGGGCGATGGGACGAGCCAGTGATCCAGCGCTGGAGAAATTCGTGCAGCCGCGATCACGCGGACGGGGCAGCGGCGGCTCCGGGGGCGCGTTCCTGCCCGTCGAGCTGCCGGCGCCAGAACTGACGGGGGGATGCGCGTCATCTGCAGAACGACGTGTGATGCGTTCATTCGCCGACTGAGGGAAAACTGATCAAACCGGGCCAAGAAAGACTTCGAATCCTCGCTCGGCTGCGCGACACCGCGACCCCAAGAAACGCAATCAGGCGTATCTCTGAGCACTCTGCCACGCGTGAGACCTCGATGCTGACCAGTGATAAACGTCATGTCATGACCAGGAACAGCAGCCAACTCTTGAATTGGCGTCGCCTCGCGCTCCTCATCCGACGCACTGTTCGTCGAACAGTTCTCGCGAGCGTTTGTCGAGGCACTCGGGGCGGTGTCCCTCGAGGCAGGCGTGCGAGGAGCCATGTGTGCGTGCGGCCTCTCTCCAGCCTCCGACGAGGTCTCCGGGGGCTGTGCCGAATCGCGGCCGCGTGCTCGCGCTCGGGGCTGTGAGCCAAAATGGCTTCGGGCAGTGGGGCGTCCTCGAAGCAACTCTTGCATGCGTGCTCTTCCGCGTGTCCCTCCGTCAAATAGCGCTGCCAGGTGGGTGAAGATGTCGCGGCAGGTCCCGTGGGCGCAAACTGATCGTCGTCGCCGTCCTCGCGCAGCTGGGGCGTCGCGCACCAGTGTGCGCAACCATGGCCGTCTTGGGCTTTCCACTGCGCTCAGGGCCCCAGACCAGTGGTCAATCTCGTTGCAGGCTTTGCACTTCGATCGTGTCTAGATCTCCCGGAGGTGAGCCAGCCTAGCGCTACTCCAGGGTCGGCGATCCTTTGCCGCCGCCCTTGGGCGATGCTCTTGCCTCTGCTCTTGCATCTTCCTTTGGCGCCGAGGTTGGCTGCCAAATCGTCTCCGCGTGGCTAGGCCATCATAAGAACTTCTTCTGCCTTGTAGCCGTGTTTGACATATTCTTCCGTTGCTTCGGCGTCAAGTTCGTCTCCGCGTGGTGTGGGTGTCCAGTGAGCGTGAGGGTCGCCGTCGCTCCATGCTTGGTCATCTGGCCAGGTGCCCGCCCGCCAAGACTTGTCGTCCCATCCGTGCTCGGGTGTGTAACACGACGCGAAGTAACCGTAGGGACTTAACTCCTCGGGGTAGTGCTCCTCCTGCTCACGCCAGCTGTCGCTGGCAGCGTGGTGCGCCTGTGGTGGCCTACAGTGCCTGGTCTTGCCCTTGCCCTTACTCGGGTTTCTGGGCGTCCAATGAATCAATGTGGAGCTCTTGCCCGGATCTCCTTTGCCTTTTTTGGCGGGTGTGGGTGCGACCGTGCTGGAGGATCAGAACGTCTTTGATCTTGTCGAAATGGGTCACGTTGCCCGTTTATGTTATTACCATCGGGCTTTCCTAAGGCGAGAGTCCTGCATGGTCCAAGAAAAGAAAGCAAAGCATGTCATCACTTACCTTGAAGTTCGGGTCGAGTTTAGAGACAAACTTCCACCAGCGTATTCTGCTTGATATGTATGAGACCAAGGACTCACCGTTGTGTCGGGGCATTGGTCTGTCGGGTCTGTCCTGCTTGGAAGAGGATCTTGGTTTCCTGAGCCTCAATGGGAAAGAACGAGGTGCGGATCGTCTGTATCAGCAGACCGATGCCCATTTAAACCAGAAGCGTGTCTTTGTCGATATCCATGGCTATATCGAGCGCGTCGCCTCTGAGGCCCTCTATCACCTTACTGACGGCTGCTGTGACGGCGTGTGTCTGTGGCTCTCCCGTTGCAGGATCGGCGGCCAAGGCAACGATCATGCGCATCTCTGTGCGGAATTCCCAGTCATGGAAGTTGTTCACTGTACCGTCATAGACGGAAGAGCCACTCTTCGTCTCAAATCTTGTCAATGAGTCAGCATGTTGTCTATAACGAAGAGAAGACAGACTACAGTCCTTGTGTAAGGGTCACTGCTCAGGCAAATATAATTAATCGTTATGGACCCCCTCTGAAGAGACGAATCCTGCGCAGTGGTGCGGTCGCCGAAGACCGTTTAGCAGGCTCCGCTACCAGTGTGATTTATGATGATTTTGTGCCTTGGCAAAAGGGCCCCCTTGAGAGTCAAATGGCAGCGAATGGCGCACGTTCGTGCCATGCACACGCACACGCTATCACACAAGGGGGGTCCTTTTTCGCCCAATCTGGCTGCAAGAGGGCCTCCGATGCTCTAAGATTACCTCCGAAACTGCTCAAAATAATTAAAGATGGTTCACGATAACTTCTGACATACCTCCAAGGAGCCCGACGAGGGCCACAAGACGGTTCCAAATGCTCTCGGAGCCCCTTGGAGATCCCCCCAAAAGGCCAACATCCTTGAGCAACCTACGGAACATAAATGAATTGTTCATTCTCGCCTTTTCGCTTCCGGGGCCTCAAGCTTGCCCCAAGCGGGGCCCAGGCCCCCCCCCAAACTGCCCCAAGCGCGGCCATGATCGGCCCAAGGGGGTCCCAACAACGCCCTATGATACCAACATCCTTCAACAACCTACGGAACATCAATGACTTGCGCTTTCTCGCCTTTTCCCTCCCGGTGCGCTTTTGGTGCTTCAGAATTTCCCTAATATATGGCCCAAGAGAACCCCAAAAAGGGACCATGATGCCGCCCAAACGGCCATAAGAGCGCCCAAGATCGGCCCCAGAGGGTCATAAGAGCGCCCCAAGAAGCGATGTTGATGGCCCGTGTGGGGGGGGAAGACGAGCTGTGACCCCCCCCATTGATTGATACCCTCCAAAATGCCCCCAAGATGCCCTCCAGGGCTCCCGAGGGACCCCGAAGAGGGCTCCAAGAGGGCCCAATGACACCCCTAAAGAACTCCAAGAGGGCCCCCTCCAAAAGAGCTCCAAGAGGACCCCAATATCCCCCAACAAAATCCCCATAGGGCTCCAAGACGCGATCTTGATGGCTCTGTCCTCGTCCTCGTTGTCCGCCTCTTCATCCTCGTCCTTGTCCTTGCCCTCATGTCTTCCTTTCCCTTTCTCCCTCTTCCTCGTCGTCGTGGTCGTCCTTCTCCTCCTCCTCCCCTCGCCCCCACGCGGGCCCCGGGATGGCTCGAAGAGGACCGCCAATGCCACCCCCTTGCCCCACGAGATCTCTCCGTTCACCATGTTTGCCCGCTCTGGTGCACGAGTCCTTTCGCCCACTTTTGCCATCAGCTCTCATCGGCACGTTTTCTGAATGGTCTGGTGGGGGTGCGCGAAGCGTGAATAATTTCCTGCAAGTTTGTCGATCGTTTTCGCGCTCTCTCCGTTCGGACTTCCGACAACAAAAATGCGGCACCAGAGGCATCGAATATAGCTCCACGACAAGCCCAAATGCCCCCGAGAAAGCACCAATACTGACCACGAGGTCCCCCAAACGGCCCAAGAGGCATCCAATACAGCCCCACAAACCTCGAGGACGACCCTAAAGCGCACAAAAACGGAACCACGACAGCCCCGAAAGGCATAACAACGGCCTCCGAATGCCAAGCGGCCATCCAAGCTCCCAGAGGCCTCCAAGAGGCCAAAGAAGCCCCCCAAGAGGCCCCTCAGAGGCTCCCAGGAGGCCACAAGAAGGCCTCATGAAGCCTCCTCTTCTTCTTCCTCCTCCTCCTCCTTCTCATCCCTCTCCTCCTCCTACTCCTCCTGCTCCTCCTGATCCTCCTCCTCCTTCTCCTTCTCCTCCCCTCTCTTCCGTACGTTTGACCACACAGGCATTTTCAGAGAGGCAGGGGGCAGGGGTGATTCGCCGTAGGCGTCTTTGATCACACTGTGTTGCAACGTCTGTCCATGAAGAATGCTCGACCTGTGCCAGATTGACCAGACGGAACGAACGGATACTCGACATTCCATGGCCACGCGCACCATCGTGTTCACGCAAACGACTTATTTTCCGACATCGCAGCATGCTGGGATGGCTCCCTGACGTACTTCTGTACCCACTGGGTCTGTAACGTCCGAGTGCTCTGTATATTCGTTCGTGTAAAAGCTGAGCACCATTTCAAATCACACTCATGCAGGATTTGCAGTCTTGGGTGGCGAGAAGTGGAAGGATAGACAGAGACACCATTGAGGGCAAGAAATGAAGAGCCAACGATCAGCAACACGTGACAGCATGGCATCGTGGCCGTGACGGGGGCCTGCGCGTCAACAGGGTCGTTCACTCCGATACCAGCGTCCAGACATCTAGCCACCTGCGGTGTCCGCGTGATGTGCTGAATTTGAATGCTGATGCGATATGACTGTGAGCATCTGCCGTTGCATCCACAGCAGGTGGCCTCATGCATCAGAACAACTGGCTTGCACCATTTATCTACATTTTCCCGCACCTTCTCTGCCCCTTGCGCGAACGACAGACTCAATGAGTGCGGGGATGCTGTCAGACATGAGCACAACACGTCTGCAAATCAGTGCATATGCTGTGCCTGGCTCGAACGTGCACGTACTCACAACACATTGGCCGCGAAATTCATTGCCCTCATGCATCTACTCGCGCACATGCACACCGACTGTACCTGTGGTGAACTTGTAGTTGGACGACGATTTTTCCTAATGTCCCTTACCCCGCTTGCTGCCCAACGATGTATCTCGTGGTTTCGCGCAGCCGCTTGCAATCTCTGGGCCACAATCTTGATTGACTGATCTCTGCGAACCGGGCCAATGATGAGACTCCGAGCGACCAATACCAGTCTCAGCAGAACGAACTGCGAACGACTTGTTCACCAGAGCTGGACGTGAAATGCGCAAGAACTTACGACTTGTTTGGAACACATCAAGACCACCTCGTGGCTGTCCATTCTCCTCACTGCCTTCTGGAGCTTCTCGTTCGTGACGGGCTCGTTGTCCTCACTGGCGCTAGAGAAGACGCAACAACGTGGTGTGAATCATCCATCTACTCCCGTATATGGGCCTGGTACAACCATGATGAATATTACGCACGTGCGTAACTGGTAATCGTCGAAACATTGGAACATGCACTTGGATCTTCCGGAGTCTGTTTTGGTCTAGCATCGAAGCGCAATGTTTCTCTCGATATCCGCTGCTACCTCAATAGTGTGTGGTGCCTCGTGGGCATGTCGCAGCCGTAGCGCCTCGGGCAACGCAAGAATGCGGGAACAGATGGTAGACTGGCTTGGGGATGCTTCTCATACCTGACGGGTGAAATCCAATTGGGTATCCGACGCTATCATCATATTTTGTACGTCAACCTCCAGTGGCTTGTGCTTCAATGCAACCTTCCTTCTTTGTGAGAGTGCATAGCGAGGCGTGAGCAAGATCTGGGGGCCCTTCGCGCTGAATCTACATCTTCTGTCGCACGCGCGGTGTTTGCAAGCAGCCGTGCGCGACAACGAATCCACTTCGCACGCGCAGCCCAATATTCTCCGACGGAGCCGCTATTTGCAGAACCTATAGCTGCATGGCAGGGACAACTCGAGATCAAGAACAATATCGGGCCCACGCGCAGAAACACAGAACCAACGAAATTGCCAGTGGGCTGTTCCGTGCACCATCGTCCCCTGAAGCTCGGTGTCCTCGGCTCCAAACAGCGAAAGGCTAATACGACTGCGAACCGATCGCACTATCGGCTGCGACACCGCTTCTGGAGTCTTTCTGTCATCGGATTTTGCTGTAGAGGCGGCTACAGCCATGTGCGAAGGGGAAGTTTGTCCCAAGCACCCTTTCAAGTGGAGCCCGACCGCTGTGCCTGTCGTTGTGGTAAGGACAAGACGGGAATTTGTCTTAGATCGAGGGAGTGCCTAAATCGCATGTCCCAACTAACATCTCCCAAACAATATATGTACGCCCCACATAGCTCTATAGTATTTCAACCCTTGGTGGTCCCCAAACGTGGTGGTGAGAACACCCGGTGGTGAGTTTTGGGCGATTTGGGTAGTGGTTTTCGAGCGCTGGCTGGCCCAAGAAACGCAAAACCTCGTGGCGACCGCGTGTCCCCAAACCCGGTGGTGACCCAAAATTATTTGTTGGGGGAATCGGGGTCACCACCGGGTGTCTCACCACCTGGTTTGGAGACCACCAAAACCCGGATCTTGCCCCTCCAGGAAAATCTACCGGGAAATCTTGCCCCTCGGAAGCCCCCCGTGGCAAAAACTACCCCGCGGAAGCTTGCCCCTCGGACGTCTCCCAAACAATTTCCCAAGTCATCTTGCCCCTCCGAAATCTCCGTGGAAATGTCCCGGAAAATCTTGCTCTTCGGAAATCTCAGTGGAAATCTCCCCGAAAATCTTGCCCCTCGGCATCGGTAGGGAAACCTTAAGAACCCCCACGGAATCCTTAAGGAATCCGTTGGGAATCCATAAGAATCCCAAGGGTACCCTAGGGAATACTGAAGAATCCCTAGGGTAACCTTAGGGAATCCTTAAGAAACCTTGGGAATCCTTTTTGGGGATCATTTCAGAAGCCCGAGGGAATCCTTAGGGAATCCTTCGGGAATCCTTAAGAATCCTTAAGAATCCCTAGGGGATCCTTCGGGAATTCTTAGGGAGTTCTCCTGGAAAATCCCCCGGGAAATCACCCTGAACGGATTTCCAGAGAGACTTCCCCTGAGATGTCCTACATACCAACACAGTCTAATCAATCCTAAGACATTCCAGAAACTCCAGACATTTCGCCTCTCGGAAATCTCCAGGAAAATCCTGCCCCTGGGAAGTCTCAATGGAAATCTCCCAGAAAATCTTGCCCCTCGGAAGTCTCCTGGGAGATCTCCCAGGAAATCGCCCGGAACATATTTCCAATGATATTTCCACCGAGATGTCCTACATCCCAATGCATTCTAAGCAATCCTAACACATTCCGGACACCCTGGAGACTTCGCCAGAGATTCTAGCGCGGGCGGAAGGTCCTGGAGATTCCGCCAGAGATTTCCACTTATCCAAAGATTCCCTGGAGGTTTCGGTGGAGATTTGGCTTGGAGGTTTCGCAAGGGGTATCTGCTTGGAGACCTGAATGGGCCCCAGCACTGCGGCCAGAGATTCATGGGAAGATTTTCGCAAGATGATAGGCCAGAACCGTTGGGGACTTTTGATCAAGACTCCCCCGATCTAAAATTCTTTCCAGCGACAAGAACTCGACGAAGGCATCGAAACGGTGGCTCCAAGACCCCTGTAGTCCAGAGCTGGAGCCCAAGAACCAGAACGTCAGAAAACACCTGGGAAGGAATGCCGACGGCACGTTGGGACGAGGGATGGGTCACCAAAGGCGACGTTGTTGGCATCGTGCGAGAGGTCGCGCCATAATGCGCAGACCAATTCGCATCCGATCCCGATCGAGGATCGACTCAGGATCCAGGAACCAAGACAGAGCAGGCGGGAATCGAATCAATGGGATCCAGAACCCAGGATTCAGGAGACCCAGTCGGATCCACTAGACTCTAGACTGCCGATGTGAGGTGGGCGCGCTGCTGGAACGGGGGAAACGAAGCGCCGCTGGAAGCGCCAAGGCCGCGCTGACGGCGTGCTCGGTCAACGGTGTGGTTGGGAATCTCGTCAGTGTGACGCCGAGCTCACGCAGAACAACATGCAGGAAATCACGAAACGCCGTTTCCTGCATCTCAAATCTGCGAAGGCATCGGGCGAAAGCGACACGGCGAGCTGCAGGAAAAAGCACGCACCGCGCGCTCCTGCAATTGGCCTGGCCACGAACCACGCCTCCCTGCACTTGGACTTCCTACTTCGCCGTTGCCCAAAACACACCGCCAGCGCGGCTACGGCGGCGGTCCTCGTGGACGCAGAGGCCCGGCACACCGTTGCCCATCGCGCCCAGGAGTGGCACGGGCTCGGCCCCCTGCGCCGTGCCCCGCGATGGGGGCTCCCTTTCTCTGCTCTCCGCGCTCGCTGCTTCCTGCAAGAACCCATGCTTGCACCCTGCTCCAGACGCAGAGCTGCTGCTCTGCGTGCCAACCGCACTCTCCCAACTTCTTCGCCCGGCTGCCCCAAATCGGGGGCCACATGCGAACCCGACCCCTACCCCCCACGATTTCTCAGGGGGAGGGTGGGGTTCACTTCGCTCGAGAGCTCCCGAGGAGGAGGAGGAGGAGGAGGAGGAGGAGGAGGAGGAGGAGGAGGAGGAGGAGGAGGAGGAGGAGGAGGAGGAGGAGGAGGAGGAGGAGGAGGAGGAGGAGGAAGGGGTTGCGAGGAGCGCGAGCACATTTCACGGCATCTGCAGCAGACGAGGGCCCCGCTGCCGCGCGACGCAGTCCGAAGGGACTCCGGACGCATGCTCGGACACAGTCGGATGCCCGGAGAGGCTTCTGCGTGCCTCTCTGCTTCGCGGGCGGACCGGGCAGTCGAAATCCCACTAGCCCCCTGGGCTCTGGGCGTAGGCGGTTTACAAAGCGAACTCTCCCTGACACCCCTTCTTCCTTCTTCGGGCATGGGTCTACCGCTCCCCCTCTCCCACGCCGCAACACTCCCCACTCGCACGGCAGATCTACCGGGACTTGGTTAATGCACGTATGTGTACTTGTGTATATGCACCTGACTGTGACAATCATGTGTAACAATGCCGTTTCAGATGTATATTTTATGGTCTATCTCAAGCGGCGCCCAAAAACGACGCCCAAAAACGACCAACATCAAATCGACTCGGAACCGGCAACGCTCCCAAGCCTCGTCTTGGGGCTTTTGGGGAATCCTCTTGGCGTCGTTAGAACCATTTCAATGCCCACTGCGGATTGTTCCATCGAACGGGTCGTGAATTGCATGGGTTTGGGGGCCTCTCGGGGCCATCTGGGGGGAGCTCGAGACCCTCTTGATGCTCTCCTGGGTCCCTGCAAAATCGTGTTCGGGCTATCTTCTGGCACTCTAGAAGCTACTGTGGGCCGTCTCTGGGCACTCTTGGGGATCTTTTGGACCGTCTTTGGCGTTCCGAAGCCCAAGAAGCGAGTATGTGATGATCATGCATTTTGTCGTTTTCGTGTGCTCCACACATGGGTTCCCTGCTTTCTCTAGGCCGCTACCGCGCAGGAGCAATAACCTCACTCCTTGGAGTACTCCTCACCATCGCCGCCGTTCATCGGCATCGTCGTCACCATGATCGATGCCACTGGCATCTGCTCAATTTAAGCATTCGGGTTGTTTGGCGCCTAGTGCTCCCAATCGTACAGGTGTCGCCGCTTTTTAGCTCCTTCTGCTCCAGAGCGTAATGCAATCGCCACTTGTTTGATCATGGCGCTCCCTCACATAGAACTGTCGTCACGTTTGGGCTCCGCTTCAAGTCTCTCACGTTCTGTCTCTAACCCAGGGCGGCTATTGGAATTATACGTAAAAGCAAATGTTAAATCGACCTCGAGTCCAATCTGCAATATACGGGCAACATGATTCTGACCGTCCCAGAGACCCCATAATCACACTTCACACGGTTAACACACTACAATCATACTATTCTTATCGCTCTTATTATGTGCATCGTGGTCGTTGTCGTCGAACGTACATCGGGAACATATGTAAAAAACGGATGTGACGTCACATTCGGGTGTACCTTGCACTGTGAAAGCCATGTGCACTACAAGTCTTCAGCCGCCTATCTCTCCTCTCCTCCTCTCCTCCTCCTCCTCCTCCTCCTCCTCCTCCTCCTCCTCCTCCTCCTCCTCCTCTTGCTCGCCCTTGTCCTCGTCGACGTCCTCCTTATCCTCTTCCTGTTCCTAATTCTCGTCCTCCTCGTTCTACTCCTCCTCTTCCTCTTCCCTCTCCCCCTCCTCCCTCTCCCTCTCGCTCCTTCCTGCTCCATATTTGCATTCGCCTTCTCCGCCTCATCCTTCTTCTCATCCTGTACTTCTTTCTCTTCTTCCCTCTCCTCTCCCTCTCCTCTTCCTCCTCTTCCCCCGTCTCCTCTTCCTCCTCCTCCTCCTCCTCCTCTTCCTTCTCCTTCTCTTCTTTCTTTCGCAGAGCTCAGAAAACCGCTTCCTCCTCCTTCTTCTCCTCCTCCTCCTCCTTCTCCTCCTCTCCCTCCTTTTCTCCGTCATGTATCCTGCTTTCCCCGCCATGTGTTTCAACCACCTAACTCCATTTGAAACATCCTCCTCTTCCTTCTCTTCCTACTCCTTCTCCTGCTCCTCCTGTTCCTTCTGCTCCTCTCCTCCTCTTCCTCCTCCTCCTCTTTCTCCTTCTCCTCTCACCTCCTCTTCCTCCTCCTCCTTTTCCTCGTCCTGCTCTTCCTCCCGGTCCTCGTCATCCTCTTTATCCTCCTTCTTCTCCTCGTCCTCCTCCTCCTTCTCCTCCTCCTCCTCCTCCTCCTCTTCCTCCTCCTCCTCCTCCTCCTCCTCCTCCTCCTCCTCCCCCTCCTTCTTCTCCTCCTCGCTCTCCTCGTCCTCCCTCCCCTCTTTGGGCTGCTACTCCTCCTTCTTCCCTCCATCCCTGTCGCCCTCCCACCATTCACGTGCTGGCTGCTTGCGCTCCCAACGACACCCCCTGCTCCTGGTCTTACGCGCACACACACGCACTCCTACTAGGTTCTCGTGTGGGGTCCCCCGTCGGAATCAGTGTTTGTTGACTTTTGCATCTTCAGGGGGCTCTCGTGGGCTCGCCTCCAACATGACCCCCCGGAGCGCACTAACGGCTACCAGCGTTTCCCCAACATCGCATCCACACAGCGTCAACGGGGCCCCAAACGGCTTCAAGAGAATGCCAGCCTGGCTCTCAGAGGCTTCCTGAAGCCCCCCGCCCAAGGTCCAGGATTCGGCCTTTGTTGGGGGCTGCTAGGGCGGATCCCTTGCTTGACTTCGAATGGATCCACCCTGTATGCTTCACTCGTGCTTTCCCATCCGCATTTTCAAGGCAATCCTTTTTTTGTTGGTGGAGAAGTCGGAGGAAAGCTAAGGGGACGAAATCGCCCGGGCAATTCGCCCGGGAATCGTTTCTGGACGGGCCAGTGGGGATACTTTTTTTGGTCGGCGGCCGCGCGACAACGGTCTGGCGGCAACAGGCGTGTCCGGGACGGCGGTGCAGGCAAATTGCACGCAAGGCGAGCGGGGCACGTGCACTGAGCAAAATGCTCCTCATTCGAAGTGACGCAAATTGCGCACAGGGGTGCGAGTGCTACGGAGGGAGTCGCCTTTGCGGCGCCAAGCTCCGAGCATTTCCCTAGACAGACAACTAAGCACCAGCCTGGGGGACCCGCTGCTGGTGGTAGAAAACAAGGGCCGTCGGCGCTGAAGGCTGGACCATTCAGCGCGCAGCCAACGGAACCACCTCAGAGCTGTTGGGGCTGGCCACGACCGACGGACGAGTCGGCACCGGCGGAAAAGCCGAAAAACGCGGGCGAGGCCTCACACTGGCAAGGCAATCACCGTCACCCACACCTCGGAGGAACCCGCCGTCTTTCCGAAGTCACAGTGTCGACCGGCTGTGGGAGGGCTCCTGCAGCCCGCATAGTGCGACTTGGCGTGGAGAAGGGGGGTGCAGCTAACTGCCGCAAGAGATGCGTAACTGGATTGCAGCTGCACGCAGGGGGCGTGAACACGTGTGGGGGGTGCAGCTAACCGCCGCATGGGTCACGTAAAAGAATGGGGGTTGGCTGAGCGGTGCAGGTGCGCCCCGGGCTGGGGCGTGCCAGCGCTGAAGGCCACTGGACGGCCAAGTGGTGCAGCACTACGCAACGCAGCTGAAGCTGCACCTGTCAAAAAACCGGCTGAGCGGCGGGCAGGGAGGCGACTATTTCAGGCGACTGATCCCTGCTACCGGCAGCGGGCGGCTGTCCCGTGGACGGCAAAGGAAGGGGCGCAGGGGGGAGCATCTACGGCCGTCCCCTGGGCACCGAAAGGAGTGGCTGCCGCTGTGGGACAGCAATGCAGGCGCCCCTACGCGGGTGAAATCTAGAGACGCGGCCTGAGGTAACACTCAGGCGAAACGCGTAAAGATGCACTAAGAGAAGCACGCAGGCAAGGCAATCCGCCTCAAGACTCTCACTTGGTGGATACCATCGACCTTCTGAGTGTCCCAGGGACGACCGGCTGCGCGGAGGCCCGTCCCGGCGTCCGCTGCGAGAGAATGTGGAATCCGTGGATGGGGGGGTCCTCCAGGCCGCCAGCCCGTCTGGCCAACCGCTCAGGCTGCCGCAGCCGCCGCGGGCGAGCCATGGGGGCGCAGTGGAGGACGTCCGCCAGGCCAGGCAGACGGCGCGTCCCGTACCGGCTACCTGAGGCCGCGTAGTTGACGTGGAGAAGGGGGGGTATACCTAACCGCCGCAAGAGGCGCGTATCTTGGAAGCAGCTGCACGCCGAGGGCACCTACACGTGTGGTGATGTGGGGAGGGAGGGGGGGGGGTGGTGCAGCTAACCGCCGCGAGTGACGCCTGTAAGGATGGGGGGTGGCAGGACAGCGTCGATGCGGCTCGGGCTGGAGTGTGCCAGCGTCGGACTCGCCAAGTGAAAGGCCCTGCGTCGTAGCTTTACGTAACTAGCTGGGACTGCAAACTGCTGAAGTGCGGCTGCGCGGCCTGCAGGGGGGTGACTATCTCAGGCGACTAACCCCTGCTACGGGCTGCTGGCGGCTGTCAAGTGGACAGCAACGTGAAGCCTGGGAGGGTGCATCTACGGCCGTTCCCTGGCACCCAAGTGGTGGCTGTCGCAGTGGGGCAGCAAAGCAGGCGCACCCAGGGGGGGGGCTAGGCCTGTGGGCTGGTCCCCATCTGTCGAAGGGGTGTGTATTGCCCGGCAAGGTCCACGTATCCAGTGTGGCTGTCTAGAATTGCTGCGCCGGGGGGTGAAATGTGGGGAGGCGCCCGCCCCAGCGAGAGTTGCCCCAGGGGAATATGGC